CGGAATAAATCCACCTGCAGGGTTTAGCATAATATTCCTTCATGAACTCACTTCGGGGACATCATCATACTAACACAAATTGTGACCGTAAATATCCTAATAGCACATCGAATACACAATGTCATTACCCAATTCATTAAGTATGTCGACCCAGCTTGGATCTCACCCAATGAATCAAAGCAACAACAATTATGTGCACATGCCTATTTAATATCTTACGGGTTAAGAGCACGCAATAATTAACTGAGGCCTAGTTCGTTTACGACGATTAGTATAAAACGAACATCGCTCTTTGGGATCCTGTTCAATACATAAATGTATTAGTGCAACTAATCGGTCAAGACAAACCGTACGGTTGACACTACAACTGTTCTGATGGGTTGTTCAATTCCATCTAGGTTGTGAACCAATGATTCTTGTTTCGCAAGTAACTGATATAGTGATCTTCGGTATGCCTGATGACGACCCACTTATCTACATGCAAAACAACAGAACGTGGAACTTATTTAACCAAACATAATTCTCATTCATCAAGGAATAACAAGTGTAATATCCACTAAAGCAAAGCTTAAGTATATAACACCAACAGCAGGTGAGTCACCACACAACTTGAACACCAATTTTTATCCCTTAGTAAATTCTCACGGCAATTACTAAAGGGGATTTCTTGGGTCAGCTTAACATTGATCATGAAGATTAGCTTAATATAAGCTATTGATGGGCGGTACTTAGTGTCGCGTGCGCTATGCACGGCAACTTACACTACGCACGGTTGCGCGCGCATACTCGCATGCTAATGCCCGACATGCGTGCTATGGAGTGCACCTCCATGACTTGAACAAGAATTTGATCTCACATTAAATCCGAAAATTCTTGACTTTCAATAATTAATTCTGATTGATAATGTTCGTTTATAAAATAAATGGTTCGAAAATTAATTATCGACTTGGACTTGGTTAATAAATAACCGAATAGACTTTTGACTTAAAGTCAAACTTCATTAACTTAAATGCTGAAACTTAACGGGATTAATAAAAAAAATACATCACTTTTATTAATACGAAACTGGGTTATTACAATCTACCCCCCTTAAAATATTTCCGTCCCCGGAAATATACAATTGAACATATATACATGATACAAGAAAAGTATATACATCAAAACTGAAAATCAGGAAAACGAGCACGGATATCTGCCTCTTGCTCCCAAGTAGCTCCGTGGCGATCCCACTGAACGCGAATAAGGGGAACATTACGCTTCCGGAGCCGTCGAACCTGTCGGTCCAACACAGCTACCGGTCGCTCCTCATAAGACAAATCGGGATGGATCTGAACATCGGTATGCGGAATAACATGATCGGGATCGCACACGTATTTACGCAACATGGATACATGAAAGAGATTATGAACACTGGATAACTCGGGAGGCAAGGCTAACCGATACGCAACTTCGCCCACTCGCTCGAGAACTTCGAACGGGCCAATGAACCGAGGGTGTAACTTCTCTCTCTTCCTAAACCGAATAACTCCGTGAAATGGGCTAACTCTGAGAAAAGCTCGTTCTCCTACTTCGAACTGAATGTCACGTCTATGCTTGTCGACCGATGATTTCTGCCGACTCTGCGCTGTTCTAAGCCTCTGATAAGCTCGACATGCTCAGCTGTTTCCTCGATCATTTTTGGACCGAGTACTCGACGTTCGCCAACATCGTCCCAATAAACGGGCGAGCGACATTTACGCCTGTATAGTACCTCGAAAGGAGCCATCTCAATCGACGCCTGATAACTGTTGTTATAGGCGAACTCAACTAATGGTAAAATCGACTCCCACTTAGCACCTCTGTCTAACATCAACAGTCTGAGCATATCCTCGAGCATCTGAATAGTTGTTTCTGTCTGACCGTCTGTCTCTGGATGGTAAGACAAACTGAACTGCAACTGCGTGCCCATCGCCTCGTGTATAC